CGTGTCTCGCCCGTGTCTCGCCCGTGTCTCGCCCGTGTCTCGCCCGTGTCTCGCTCGAGTCACTCCAGGTTTCGGTGAGTTTTGTCTCGACAGCTTTGTGGTTTGTTCATAATAACGTTTAGTTTATTTTGGAGCTCCTCAGCTGCATCTTTGAGTCCGATCAGTGAAAGGAAGTCCTCTTTCCATCCTCCATCACGTAACAAATCCTTCCATCAGTGTGAGATGAAGGTTTGGGGACAACTCACTGCAGACAGGAAGAAGACCATGCAGGAGAGTGAAAAGCCACTGGTGTAGCCCAGATATCCTGCAAACAGACAAACACAGTCAGGTAAATCACTGCAAGTACTGGCACAACGTTCACAGTCCTTTCTGAGCACGATGATGTTCTTTTCTTAAAGTTTGAATCGTTCCACAGATACAACCGCAGGTTTAGAACCTGGAGGTTACCAGAGACGCTGAGGACCTGAGAGTAAAAAGAAGACAGAGTTTCTAACACGTTAAATCTACTCCTGCTGTAAAGATGACTGGTTCACCCAGTGGGACCGTACCAATCTGCCCCACACTTGGCTGTCTGTAACTGATACATGTGAAAACCTTTAGCGAGCTAAAAGAAGGCATTTTGCCACAGACTGTAGGTTTTGTACATGATTTGGTAAATTAATGAGTTTTCCTCCCCCTCCTAAAAGCTGTAACAGCAGCCGCCTAAACGGACCCGACCCGTCTGCACCAGTAAGTCATGGACTGACAGATGTTCCTGATGTTGTGAGTAAAACCTGCTGCAGGGACGTACCCAGGTGTTTCATCATGGCCAGCGGGAGGATGATGCAGATCGTCACGATAATGATGAGATAATTTCCATTCATGAACCAGTTCCTGGATTCAGAACACAACGTTAGACAAACATGCAGGAGGAGCACACACAGAAGCTGAAGAGCATTTGTTTCAGACGGAGCTTCAGCTGTTTCCACCGTGTGTCCATTCTTATTTGTTAACGGCATCAATCTCCTCTTTTGTTGTTCTCTTGATGAACAGGTTCTGATTTTATGACCATGAGCTCAGTTCCATCTTTACAAAAATAAAAAATGTTGTCAACAATATTCAAGTACAGCAGGTAGAACCAAAACCACATCCGGCTAAAAACTTCCATTTCCTGAAGGAATGCATGTCGCCCGCCACCATGGCCAAGTTTAAATAAAGTTCTTGTGACCTGTTCGCTCTCAAAGTATCTGCTAAAGATTAATTTCGGTTACTACCACAATAAGTTTTAGCTTGATAATTGAAAAAGTTACAGTTTTGTTTTGGCTAAGCTGGACTGGCTGTGGCAGCCATCTTGAATCGAGTTGACTCCAAAACTTAATCGATTGTAGCTGCAACATGAATCGTTCTGAGCCATTCACAATCTAATCACTCAACTTTTTTGTCTTTTTAAAGCAGATAAATGGTTTTGTCTTCTCCAACTGAATGGTTTGAACTATGAAATCATTTTTACAATGTAGAGCGGGTGAATAATCATCTGCCTCCATCTCCCAGCATCCTGCTCTGTCACATCCAGTCTGCAGATCCATGAACCTTCTGGGGCTTTCTTCTTTTGTCCATCCCTGGCAGCTCCAGATGAAACATCATTTGTCCAGTAGCTGAAGGATTGTGTCATCAGCATATGAACGTATTTTGACTGAGTTTAGTCTCAAGTTTTGACTCATTTATAAAACAAACAGGACTAAAAACACATCCTTGTGGAACACATTTTTATAGTAAATTTTCTAAAGGGACACGCACAATTTTTGTTCCAGCTTAGAGGTTCTTACCCTTCTTATAAATATCTAAATCAAAAGAACCGACATTTTTAAATTTGTACACTGAAGCTGCATTTGTGCAACAAAACCAGAACTAGAGAAACGTTTGACTCCCTGGAGTGGTGCAGGATGTAGAACTACTGAGAGGAATGAGCGTTGAATTCTGGTTTTGATTGTGCATTAGTTGCTGAAAAGGGAACCATGGGCGTATGGACCACTCAAACACTAGACCAGAGGAACATTTTCTGACATGTAATGGTCAGACTGGAGTTGAGGCGGCCAGCATCCATCAGCTGCGTCAGATTACAGTCGGAGAAAGAAAAACAGTCAAGTCCAAAGATTTCTGCTCATCAGAGGTTTTCTCTGTCCTCACGTCGTCATGCTTTGCCTTTTGATGAGGTCATTCCATGCGCTGTCACGTGGTTTTAGGTTACGCAACACCGTCCTTCACCTCACAAAGGCGTGTCGCTGGATTTCTTACGGCGCCGCTGATTGTTGGCTCCTCTGACAACATTCTTATCAAAATTATTAACAAGAACCTGCTGAGACAAAAACTTTTTTCATCTATTTTGGGGCATTTTAGGGGAAAATTACAAGAACCAGTTGCTTCACCAAATGAAAATGCAGCGGTCAGGGATTTTCCTAAAGATTTTGACTTCATTTGGAGGAAAAAGACAACTTGCACCTTTATTTATTTATGTTTTTAGTATTTCTTGTTGGTTTGTTCTTGGATTTCTTCTCATTCGAAGCATTTCATTGACAACCTCGTGTTAACTTTGCATACGACAAATAAACAGCTTGAACTTGAACTCAGGTGAAACAGACGCGACAGTTGGAGTCGTTTGGTGTTTAAAAGCAGTTCTTTGAACCAGAACTCACTCAGAGGCTGAAGTTTGGCCGAGGAAGGCCTGGATGACCAGCGGGAGCTCGTACTTCACGATGAACAGGTAGCTGGACATGGCTGCAGGGGAGGACAGACACGAGATGACCACGTCCTGCTACGACCCCACTGAACACCTGACCCGTCTTACCTCCAATGTTGTGCAGCGTTATGACCACGGCAGCGATGATTTTTCCTGGATGACCGAAAGCTCTCAGCCCGAGCTGCTCGTAAGCTCGAATACCTGAGGAGACGGGGAACAGAGGCGGTCAGGCTCGGAGCTGACCCGGAGCGGTTTCTGGGACGGTGGCGGGTGGAGGTAAAGTTTTACCGATGACTCCGGCACTGCGCAGCAGCAGATGGACGGAATAACAAGACAGGCAGGCTATACACGTGAGCAGGATCCTGTAAAACACACAAAGTCCTGACTTTAGTCCCTCGTGCTGCCACAGACAACAGTTCGGACGCTCCAGTGATTTGATTTTGTTCAAGTCCGTCTTAAAGTGATGATGATGATGATGATCTGATCAGGTGCGTTCAGTTTCTGAGCTCCGCTTGTTGTTGTCCCTCGACGAGACAGAACAGGTTTTTATTAGACTCTTTCTGTGAAGGAGCTGTACCTCTCGGTTATTTTGATTGATAATTATAATTAATTATTCATTATAATATGATTTGGTTTCTTGTGTCTTATCAGTAAGTTTACTTTATTTTTATTTTCTGTTTGTTATCCTTGCGTTTAGTGTGATTTTATTTGTTAAACCTTTGTGCCGTCAGCCAGCCGGCCACGCCCTTCCACACCTGCTCCGGTCTCACCTGCCACAGCTGCAGTCATTTCTCTCATCAGCCTCATCGTTCCTCAGCGTCGCTTCATTCACCTGTTGTGCGTTGTTGGTTTTCACGTTTCACGTCATGGTTTATTTTTAATTATACATTATCATTAATACATCTAAAATGGT